CTCCACAACTAGACTGAAGAACAAAACGACAGCAACTTGTCTGTTCCCTTTCCCCCATTCTGCAGCGCTGTTCCCCTCCCCCAATTCCCCAATTAAAAAAAAATAATAACACAACTTTGGACAACTTATTTAATGTCTCTATGCTTCAGTTTCTTCATTTACTTAATGGGAAGTTTACAGCCCCTACCTCATAGGGATTTTTAATGCTTAAATTAGATTATTGTCTTAAAGCACTTAGAACAGTGCTGGGACTATAGTCAGTGTGCCCATTAAATGTTATGTATCATTATTATTTTAGAGCATTTCTTTTTTTCCTTTCTTATTATTTATTTTTCAATTATAATTGACATTTATATTATTTTATATTAGTTTCAGGTGTACAGAGTAGTGGTTAGACATTTATATAATTTATGAAGTGGTTCCCCCCGATCAGTCTAGAACCCATCTGGATTTTAGATCATTCCTTATTCTGTATTCTTGCATTGAAATAAGATCATTTGAGCTTTTACAGGGGTTACGTTGGGCCCCAGAAAAGTAGAAAATTCACTTATTCTCACTGTATGAGAAAAGAGAGCAGTTATTGCTAGAAGGGATTTTCAGAGTTCTTCTAGATTAAAAAAAAATAAAGAAAGGCAAACAACTGATTTATCAGTTCCTATTCCTTTCCCATAGCAGACATTAATTGATCTTGACACTTGTTTTTTTTAATTGAACCTCAACTATGGCTTCAGAGTCCTTTTTTTTTTAAAGATTTTTTTATTGGGGAATTGGGGGATGGGAACAGCGCTGGGGAATTGGGGGAAAGGGAACAGACAAGTCGCTGTCCTTTTGTTCTTCAGTCTAGTTGTGGAGGACGTTGCTTCACTGACCCAAGTTGGCACCATCATTGTGCTCTTCCCGGGCGAGGCAGATCAGTCGCCGGCTTCTGGACAGCCACTCATACCGGCTGCTGGCCGCTGATGCTGGCTGCTGGCCACACACAGTAGCCCATGGCAACCCACTGCTACAGGGACTGCAGCCTACACCACCGCTGGCGACTCCCGGCAGCCCAGCTCAAGCTGTTGTTCAGCATCTTAGCTGTAGAGGGCAGCGTCACTGGCCCTCATATGTGGGATCCGAACCGGGGCCCTCTGGTGTCCCAGGCCAGCTCCCAACCAACACGCCACTCTTAAGAGTCGTTCTTAAGAGAGGCTCTAAGCAGAGCTGGTGCTCAAGATAAAACCTGTTTGCTAAACCTGATCTGGTCTAAGCTCCTCACAGGTGTGGAGACTTAAACCCAGAGGTGTACAATGACTTCCCTGGGCTCATACTGTCACCTGGAGACTGAGTCTGAACCACATCTTCTGTGCTCTTTGTGGAACAAGTTGGAGGGAAGAGAAGAAAGGAAGAACAGGAGATTCATGTGAGCACATTATAAGCAAGGGGGGACACGGGGTAGAAAAAGACATTCTTCACAGACAGGTTAGTGCATTGAGAACAGCAAGAGTCTATGTGCACTATGAGCATTTCAGATTGGCAGCCATTGGTGTTTCCCTTATTCACCCATTGGAAGTATGACATGGGAGGACAAATTGCAAAATAAACTACTTATTGGGAATTTGGTGTGGAATTTTTTTTTTTTAACAATAGTAATTTGGGATCCTTAAAAATCACAAGGAGCAATGGGAAAGGCAAAGACCTTATTCTTACCTAATTGAATTCCTTAGAGCCTTTCAGCATGTTGCACTGGTCATGTCAGTCTTGGTTCCATCCCACCCCCACCTGTTGGCAACTATGTTATATACCTTGTAATTCTGCCTCTCCCCGTTTCTTTCCATGTCTCATCACTGGACCATGCCTGACTTCACGGAGCGTCATGGACACATGACTTCAAGGTAGATCAGATTGCAGCCATTTCTACGGATTCGTCAAAAGAGAAGAATCAGATTCTCTCTTTGAGCAATTTGAATTATGAAGGCATGAAAGGAGTCAGTTACCAGTGGGAGCAAGAGCCAAAAGGGGTAGTAGGAACTGTAAGAAGGGAGCCAAAGTGATGAAGAAGCTCCTTGGTAGAGAGATGAGAAAGAATTAAATGGGGAGGAGACACAGAGACACAGAGAAGGAGACTGGCCAATGACTGTGTGGCCCATAGAGGAGGCAGAATCATGGGCCATAGAGCATCCTTCTGTCCTTTGCAATTTATTTTCCTTTTTAACTTTTTAATGTTTTGATATGAAAAATTTGGAACAATGTGCAAGAGTAGACAGAACAGTATAACAACCTTCCTTGCTCACATCACTTGGCTTCAACCATGATCACCTCTGGGACAACTTTATTTCTCCTTCTGGATTATTTTTATTTTTTTTTAAATAAACTTCTGGTGCATCAACAAAATCCTTGGTTTGAAATGCATTCTCATCAGTGGTCAATGTACAGCCTGCCTTTACTTTTAGGTTAACTACTTAAGACGTTTTTGTTGTTGTTGTTTTTAGAAATTTGCCCAGTTTTCTCTTTAGCTCCTTATATTTTCTATTGTGGTAAAATATAGCAAAATTTGTGATTTTAACCATTTTAAGTGTATAATTCAGTGGCATTCACATTGTTGTGCAAATATCACTTCAGAAGGTATTTTGAATAGTGAATTCCTGAACCCACCACTGAAAAACGAAGACCTTGACAACCTACATCCAACCAAATGGTTCTCTCCCATCCATCCCATGTAGTCCCCCTCTCGAGGTAACCCTCATTCTGAATCCTTGCATCATCATTCCCTGCCTTTTTATATAGCTTTATTGCAGGTATATGTACTCCTTCAACTATTTTTCAGTTTATTTTTAACATTTCCAATAGGATATTATGCTGCATGTAACCTTTTGGAACTTACTTTTTTTACTTTATATTGTCAGGATTCATCCCTATTATTGCAGGCCACCACTGTAAGTCATTTGTTTAGACCACAGGCATGGTCCAGTGATTCCATTGTGTGACAACTCTACTTATCGGACACGTTCCAGTTCCAGCCCACATCTTGACAGCATACCCCCTTTTTCTTATGTTAATTTGAGTGTTTTTCTCTCCTGCACAACTAAAACAGCCAGACTAAAACAACCATGCTTACATGTTGCCAGAGCAAAGTCACACTACTGCTGATGTAAGGGAAGCAGTGAGATTAATTCTTGGAAAGGTCGAAGACTGGTCACATCCTTGAGAAAAGGGCTTCTGTCCCCGTGATTTATCTGTAGAGTAAGGTTCACGCTAAGCTGTGATGGAAATTAAAGAGGAAGCTTTAGGACCTCCATGCTGACCCCAAAATGTAAATCATTTAGCAGCATACAGATGGCAGAGTTGTCATAAAGATCAAATGAGATAATGATATGTGGGAACACTCTGTAACCCCCAGAGCCTGTTTATAAAAGTGCAGTGGTATTGTTGTTGCTATCATTATTCATTTGCATTACTTGGGCAAATCATTTTCCTATTCCTCCATGATTAAGGTGAGTGCTTATTTATAAGGTGCCCCAGAAGAACTGGATTTAAGGCTGGAAGACAGAAGGCAGGAGATGTGAATATTCATCAAACATTTAGCCTAGTCCTTAGTCCCTGCAACGGCTCTTCAAGGTAAGAATTATTATCTCTGCTTTGCTGATGAGAAAACTGGGGTTGATAACATGCCCAAAGTCCTATAACGAATTAGAGGTGGAGTTTGGATCCAAATCCAGGTCTGTCTGAATCCAAAGCCCTTTTTCTACCTTGCCACACTTCCTGAAACCTGCACTCTTTCCTCTTTCCCTGTCCTAATATGGCAGGATGAAAACCTGTTTATGATCTTTCCCAGTATTTTTACGCAAATCTAAGACTATTGATGAACTAACATGGAGTCTAAGTAAAAATATCTTCATATTACAAAAATGTACACTTGAAACCTATGTAATTTTACTAACCAATGTCACCCCAATAAATTTAATAATAAAAAAATATCTTCGAGAAGACTGGGAGCCTTCCCAGCTTGAACCTGTGAATTTTAATCTGGGAACCAAGAAACTAGGGGCAGCTATGCTTGGGTTGACTTGTCACCTGGGTTGCCCCATCTACAGTGGCCCTGTGTGGACTGGAGGAGAGTGAATTTCACAAGGGGCCATCAGACAGACCCAGGCTCTGGTTCAGACCATGCCTCTACCTGTTTTAGGTCAACTATCTAATCTCGGCTGTGAAATGGAGCTATGAATGCCTGTCCTGCTACCCAACAGGGGCTAAGATCAAATGCTGTGATTTGATAAGATTGGATGAGGTAATAGATGGGAAAACAGTTTGAAGACTGCAAAGCCTTTTCCCTCAGCATTACTGTAAGCTGATATTTGTTTTTATGGTTATCATTCCCTCTCAGCAGAGCCCTCTCCCAGGGAAAGCCCTACAGTAGGAGCTCCTTAGAATGACCGAGGTTTGAGAACAGCCAGAAGGCCAAGCAACATGAAGCCATTTAAAGCAAACCAGAGGAAGTCCAGTCTCTGACTATTTATTTTATGAAGTTAGCGGCTGGATATGTTAAGCAAATGTTTTCTTAATTGTGGCAGTATGAGAAAACAATGGGGCAAGGGCTGCCGGGGACGGGGGGAGTATCAGGCCTCCACCCTACCCCACCCCCCACCACTAAATCTCCAGATAATGACAGGAAAAAATTAAAGACAGGCCTTTTCTTTTCGTGGTCACATGTCTACGCTGCAGCTGTAATAAGAACCTGCACCAATTAGAAATGTTTCACCTCCTCCCCTCGGCTCCTCCCCGGGCACATTTCGGAGCAGACTGGGTTGTGGACTCCAGGAGTTTGCCAAACACAGCAAACACTGGTGTGTGAACGGCTGTAGGGGACTCTTTCCACTCCGATCTCAGTCCCTTCCTCCTCTGCTCCCTCCCTTCTACACTGTTTTGATTTTCTAGGACTTCCTCCTCTGGGCGAGGGAGAGGGAGGAAAGACGCTTCTTGGCCGTGTGTGTGTGTGTGTGTGTGTGGTGGAGTGTAAAATGCTAAAAATGCTGTAATGGGAAGAAACCGAGCCGCGTCTGAGTGTCCTGGACTGCAGCGGCCGTTCTGATCTCAGTGGCACCTGAGCACACGCCTCCCCAAGCAAGTGCGACCTGTACCCTCAGGTACGTGTGGCTGCTGGCCTGTCTGGCCACTGTGGCTGGGGTGTGTGTGGGTAACGAGAGGGTGCGTTGGTGTCCCAGGTAAGCGCCCCGTGGAGCCCGGAGCCCGGGGAGGCGAGAGGCGCCGCGTGCGCCGCTGTCCGGCAGGTGAGCAGGTGTGAACGCCGAGCCCTGGATGCCGGAGGGCTTGTACGCTCTTCCAGCGGCTGCTTGCCCGGAAGGTCTGTGCGGGAGGCCGGGACGGTGCGGGTCTGAAGCCGAGGGTAGGGTAGTGGTGCAGGTCTCTGGCTCGATCGAAGGCGCTGCTGTCACTTGGCTGGCTGTGGCGGTTAAGGGGCAGCTAGTCCAGTGGGTACGGAGTGTGGCTCGACCGTGGACGTCGGTGTCACGTGTGCTGTGTCTACTGGGTGCGAGAGCCAATTGTGTGCTTGTGGGGAACGTGCCTGGTCCCCGAAAGCAGGCACCTAGGAGCGCACGAAAGGTTCGCTTGGGTTTGTGCAAGTGTAATCAAGGTGTGTTTCCACTGGCAGGGCCTTGGGGGTGTGATGTGTGGGACGCGCTGACTCCACGCGCCCTCTGGGACCGGCGCCTCCTCCCGGGGCCCCAGCGCGCAACCAGGCCGTCCGCGGCTGTTCGCAGCCCGAGCGCGTCAGCACCCGTTGGGTAGGTGCAAGCCGCCGCCGGGCGTGCGGCTGGCAGGGAAGGGGAAACGAGCCTATCCCCGCACGCTTGGCCCCGCCCCCGCCTCCTAGCCGACTCACCTGGGCTCAGCCCCACCTGCTCTGTGGGAGGGGCGTGTTCGGGGGCGTGTTCGGGCGGGCCTGGCAGAGCCCGGCGGAGCCCGGCGGAGCCCTGGAGAGAGCAGGCGGCCCCTCATTCCAGGGATTCCTTGGGCTCCCGCGCTCGCGTCCGCCGCGGAGCCGGCCCGGCGCGCGCCGCCCGCCGCCCGCGTGTGCGTGTGGGTGTGAGGAGGGGGCAGTCGGTGCAGGAGTGCGGGCGCGAACGCGCCTGTGCGTCGGCGCGCCCCCGCAGTGCGCTCCGCGCGCTCTGCGGTCCCGCCTCTGCCGCTGCCCCCAGGGGCTCGGCTGGTCTCAGGCCGGCTCGCCCAGAGCCGCCCCGCGGTGAGTGCAAGAAAACCCGGCCGGCGGGTTGGCGGGGGACCCGGGCCGGGCGAGGGCTGGCGTGCCGGGGAAACTCAGGTGTGGGCTGGTTCGGAGCGGGGACGAGGGCGTCCTCCTGCAAGGAGGCGGCGGCTGGTTCTCGCGGGGCAACTTGAGGCTCCCGGTGGGAACCGAAACGCCTGGGCTCCCGAGGGAGAGGTCCAGCTCCTGTAGGGGTCCCGAGTAAAAGGCGTCCCGGGAGCCGGAGGCGCGGGCCCGGGGCGGGGGCCCGGTGCTCAGCATCCCCTTTGGTCCTGGCTATCGGCAAAGGAGGGCTGTGGTGCGGGACTGCGGGAAGGGGCTGAAGATGTGCGTTTCGGACGGGCCTCTCTCCTCTCGGTATACTTCCTGCCCACTCCCCAAAACAAAACGGCACACGCTTCCTGCACCGAGTGCAGGCCTCGCCGAAAAGCAAAGGTCTCCTTTTTTGTTTTGCTTCAAGTCTCCTTTGCTTCATTACACTGAGACATTTAAATGTCTTTGGTTAGGATGACAGTACTTGCTAGGGCTATTAGTTTTATGCGCTTTACTGGCATGTGTTCGTCTGCTTAAGCTTGATTAGAAAAATCGGTTTCACTTTGATCATTGGTGCTGTAGGTTTGCTAGTTGTGTTTCCTTCTCTGTGGTTAATAAGAACCAGCAGCCTGGGGGGTGGGGGTGGAGGCTGCCTTTCTAGTTTTTATCAGCAGCTGGTTGCCCCCTTAATTTGAAAGGTACTATGTGGCCGGGTTTGTAGAGTTTGAGTATCTTTCCAAACCCAAACGTACCTTGACGAAAAATGAATATTCTCATGTTTCCTCTGATCAAAGACACGTTACATGTTAATTTTCCTATTCGTATTTAAAGGTCAGTTTTGCATACCATTTTAGCATACCAGACAAACTTTTAACTCTTTGCTCTAGTCTCTTAGTCTACAGACTTGTAACGTTCATTGTTTCCTGCTTGCAGCTAATGAAGTCTGCGCATGACTGTGAGGGGAGTAGCGTGGGTAGTTTAAAGGAGAGCTTTGGGGTCAACGCCTCAAAGCTGTATTTATCATCTCTAAATCAGTGCTCTAATTTTAAATAATGGGTTTAGAAATACTTTCCTAGGAAGTTTGTTGTCTCGTAGTCAAGATACAGTTTTGTGTGTGTGTTTTTTTTTTTCTGTGCGCTTCCTGTTGAGTCTGACTGAAAAGTAATCTCCCTTATGGTAAAAATGGTGTAAACCCTTCAATTTGTTGTTTAACTTTGGCAAAATTTTAATCCCACATTGGTTTCCCCTGCCACTATTTTTTCACACTTCTGGGCAGTCTGCCTTTGCTTTCCATGTGGAAGGGAATGCAAACTAACTTTTCTGTTGACCAGAACACAATACAATTAAGAAAATAATTCTGCTATAAATAACCACGACTACATTCCAAAACTCTGTGTGTGTTGTAGTAAAAACAGCTCTGGTTTATTTCTGGAGACTTGAGTTCAGGTCCTGCCTCTGTCACCTAGTAAGTTTGTGACCAGAAAAAGTTAATGCTACTTAACCTTTATGCTTTATTTTCCTGTGTAAGGGGATGATAATGTCTGTTCCAATGTATCACAGTTTCAGGAATTACAGGGAATAATGTGCTCTAAAAAGTATTCTGTGTTATGTTATTTATAAGTTGTTGAAGATTTGAGAGAGCTTCGTAAACAGTAATACCACTTCCCCCAACTGATTTAGAACTATACCTTAAGACTTGAACACTTCTTACAGACTCGATTATTATGAAACTAAAACTTTCACTTTCAAAAAATCTGTAATGGGAAATTCCTTTTAACTCCTCATGGAGTCAGCCTTGTTACCCCCAACCTCTGGTGGTTGCCAAAGCAAATCCAAAGAAAGATTTTTACTTTGTGTCTTTTCCAGGTACCTCCTGGATAGTTTTGCTGCTAACTTGCCTTAATAAAATAATAAGTAAAATAACCATAATAAAAGTTGTTTTGCAACTTTTAATGTATTTAATAAAACTAGAGTTGTAAGTTCAGGAGGCAAAAGTCAAATACATTGGAAAATTCTAATGTAACTAAAATTTTGACAGTGTGGTGGTTTTAACATATAAAGTTGTCTGTTTTTGACCTGTGTTAGATAAGCTGTTGCTATGAGAACCCGATGACAAAGAATGTTTTTTGTTTGTTTTTTTGTATTAGAAAGTTTCTGCAAGATATGTGAACTGAGGCTCATTGGTTATTTATTTTTTTAGAGGGTCTATCTAAAGTTACTTTCCAGGGGACACTTTAGGGAGATGGGTGAACTTGAGTCAGCTGTAAGAACTTTAACACCAGCACTGGGCAGCCTCACATAATGGTCATGAAATACGCTGTAACCTGAGTTTGGTTTTGTGCAGCTTAAGCCTATATAGATATAGACGGCCCTCAACTTGACCCATGGTCAGCTTTCATACAGTCTATGCATATGCAGTTTACACTGATACCAAACCGTGTTTTATAGTAACTAAGGACTTTAGTTATTGCATGGTAGCACTGTTTGGCAACACCTGTTGCCAGGACCATCAGACTAAATATCACATCCTTATCCCCTTCCTGTCATTCCCCCTTCACCTAACCCTAGAGCTGAGGAGGTCAACAGAATCAAGTCTTGGGCTATTTTAGCATCAGAAAACCTAAAGTGGTTGAGCATTCCTTGAGGGGTTTCCATCCAGAGTGGTACCCTCTTTCAGCCCAAGCTAACTGGAACCTCGGTCTCGGTTGACGTGATGCGAGATGGAGATGAGCAGTAGGCACAACTGAGTTGATGGCAGGCACCTGAGAGTACCTTGTTCCTGATATGTAATGTGTTCCACTTTGGAAGATAAGAGATTGAGGGCTGCCCAACCTGGAAACCTGCCTTCTGCTGAGGTTTCAGAAGGGGCATTAAACCCTTGTGGGAAGGTTACATACCTGTATCAGTTTACCCAGTTGTTTAGTTTTCTAAGACAATGGAAGGACTGCCCACAGAGTTGGCTCTCGTTCTGGGGCCTATGCTTGAGGTCGACAAGCACCTGAAAGAAGCCTAACTAGGGATTTTACACACATATTTTTAATTCTCCGGAAATAAGCATAGAACCTGTAGGTATATTGTTCAAATTTTAGACATTTGACCTTTAAATGAACTTTCAGGAAGGATTATGTGTAGAAGTAAGAAATTGGATGTAAGCGGAAGCTGGCTATGTCCTTCTGACCTGGTATGGGGCTTCAAATTATGGCAGTGTGGGTTAATTATTCATTCCTGGGACGTGCCTAGAGAAGGGAAGCTTTGCTAGCAAGGGATGCCCATCTCTTTATGTTATATCTTGGGTAGTATGACTACTGAAAGAGTATTTCGAGTAAGGCCTGTCTTCTATTTAGGAATGTGGCTGCGATATTGTGATTTATAGGAAATATATATATATATATATATATATTTGGTCATTCAGGTGACTAAAATAAAATTTTCATATATATTTGGTCTTCATCCACAATTCCTGACTCACAGCTCCCCAAACCTTTGGAATTTCCTGAGTGTTGAGAGTGAAAGGTGTCTTTTGTTATGGGAATGAAGTGACTTTTGGAAGCACCTGGGGATGGGGGCTGGTTTCCTGGAGTACCAACCAAGTGATTAGAGGGTCGGAACTTTCATTCTTGCCCCCGCTTCTAGGGACGGGGAGGGGCTAGAGGTGATTCTTTCTCCAGTGGCTAATGATTTCATCAATTCTTGTGTAATGAAACCTCCATAAAACCTTTCAAGAGGATGGGGTTCAGAGAACTTCTGGGTTGATGAGCACGTGGGGGTTCTGGGAGAGTGGCGCACCTGGAGAGGGCATGGAAGCTCTTCCATCTGGCTCTTCTGAGTTTATTACCATTTACAATAAACCAATGATTTAGTAAGTAACGTATTTCTCTTAAGTTCTGAGCTGCTGTAGCAAATTAATTGAACCCAAGGAAGGGGTCTAATAGGCAGTGGGAACTTATAGCCAGTTTGTCAGAAGAACAGGTGACAACCTTGACTTCCAACTGGGCAGGCTTGTGGGACCGAACCCTTAACCTTTGGGATCTGATTCTATCTCTAGGTAGATAGTATCGGAGTTAGGTTGAATTCTTGGACACTGCTGGATAACCTTAACAGTTAACCATTGCAGGTTGACAGGTTTTCTTGATTGTGACTAAGTGGAAGCCATCCTACCTAATAACTTGAGCCTGTTCTTGGAGCCTGAAGCCCTTGGGCTTATGTTTAATTCTGGGGCTGTGGCCCCAGGAATCTGATGGCTCTGAAGCCTTTGTTGTTTGTCCCACTGTCACCATCGACTGACTTAGTTTGAGCATCTTCTTACCTGCCTTTGTTTTTATTTATGTGATTCCATATGTCTCTCTCTTCAAAGAAGGTAAAATATGGCATGGTTTTCATATGCTGGAAAGAGGGCTTGCTTCTGCTTACTTTAGAAGTTATCATGTTATTGGCGTAATATATGTCTCAAGGTGTAGGAAAAAGCACAGACTACCAATCTTCCCTCAGTTGCTGAGGGAACATTGTTTTTGTTGTTCTGATAATTTAAGCTAAAAAACTGCTTTTCTCCAAAAGGACTGTGAAAATCAGCTTAAGAGTAGTAAAAATAGCATTGGAAGTCACTTATATCCTTGGCATTTTGGTTTTTTATCTGTGGAAGAATACTAATAATCATATTTGGTCAATTCACAATGAGAATACGATGAGGTAATTTACATGAATATGTTTTGGAAAAGTGTATGTTTTATAGCTATAAGATGGTGGTGGTGGTAAATGAGAACAAATGCTTCTTACTTGAGTTTGCAAGGCATTTTTAGTTACATTGTACCATTTAATCCACAAGCCAAGCAGTGTGACCTATGAAGTAGGCAGTGTTACTGTGATTTTCTTTAAGTGAGGAAACTTGGGCCTGGAGAGGTTAACTGACTGGTCCATACATTTAGTGTTAAGCATTTAGAGTAGAGCCTAGAACAAAACAGGCTTTCAGTGATTGTTGATTAATGAGTGTACGTGTTAAAGTAGGGCCGAAACTTCGGTTTTCTGAAGCTAAAGTCCTGGCTCTACTGGTTTAACAGATGGTAAAGTGTGAGAAGAAAAAAGCGTTGCACAAATGAGAGATATTTTTAGCGGGAAGAACAGAGAGGATAGTCTTGAGAATTGGATGTTAGCAGGAAGACTGTGCCTTGCAAGAAGTTAGTGGGGCAGCAATTAGGGAACACTGTGGGGAAGAAACCTATGAGGAGTTACCC